GTTTTAGGTCGAAAACCAGTTTTAGAAACGAAAACATGTTTTCGATGTCGGTCAGAACATGGTATAAGTAATCCGGGGTACGGTTCGGCTATTTGTACAATGACTTGGGTTTATGTTTAATGTGGCGTAGCCAGAGTTGGACCGATGAAAGTTTTTTGTAATACATACAGCTTTTCTTCACGTTAACAAGCGCTTTGTTTTTCTACGATTGTAAATTTTAGGTTTATATTTTACCTGTTAAAAATATTTTAGAAATTTAAGAAAAAGGACCAAGTTACTGAAAATCGCTACATAACAATTAGCTAATTCTACAGGAACTAAACAAAACTAAAAAGTTTATCACCACCATTCTGCAACTCTTTCGTATTCGGAACAATGGCATGCCTAAAAACGAACGAGTAAGTTATTTTGCGTATTTTTGTACGAAAAAAATTATGTGTCGGAGGCGAGATAAAAGATGTAAATCGATATGTATTTGTAGGAAATACTAGTGGTGTTCATTTAAACAGATAAATTTGCCTTTCGCATATACGTATATTTTTATCCACTTTATATCTTCTTCTCCTTTTTTTGGCGCTGTAACCGCCTAAGCGATTTTGGCCGACTTCAGCAAAGCACGCCAGTCGTTTCTCCTCTGTGCCAACTGACGCCAATTGGAAACGCCAAGTGAAGCCAAGTCCTTCTCCACCTGATCTTTCCATCGCAGTGGGGGCCTCCCTCTTCCTCTGCTACCACCAGCGGGTTCCGAGTTGAATACTTTCAGAGCTGGAGCGTCGGTGTCCATTCGAACGACATGACCAAGCCAGCGGAGCCGCTGTATTTTAATTCGCTGCACTATGTCCATATCGTTGTAAAGCTCATACAGCTCATCGTTCCATCGTCTGCGGTACTCGCCGTCGCCAACGCGTAAAGGACCGTAAATCTTCCGCAAAATCTTTCTCTCAAACACCCCAAGAGCCGCCTCATCGGATGTTGTCATTGTCCATGCTTCTGCGCCATATACCAGCACGGGCATGATGAGTGACTTATAGAGCGTGGTTTTCGTACGTCGAGAGAGGACTTTACTCCTGAATTGCCTACTCAGTCCAAAGTAGCACTTGTTGGCAAGAGTGATTCTACGTTGGATTTCAATGCTGACATTATTATCGGTGTTAATGCTGGTTCCCAAGTAAACGAAATTCTCTACTTTCTCGAAATTGTAACTGTCAACAGTGACGTGGGTGCCAAGGCGCGAATGTGCTGACTGTTTGTTTGATGACAGGAGATACTTCGTCTTGTCCTCGTTTACCACCAGACCCATGCGCTTTGCTTCCCTATCCAACTTGGAAAAGGCAGAACAGACTTCGCGGTTTTTGTTACCGATGATGTCGATGTCATCGGCATAAGCCAGCAATTGCACGCTCTTGTAGTAAATTGTTCCTGAGCGGTTCAGTTCTGCAGCTCTTATTATCTTCTCCAACATCAGATTAAAGAAGTCACATGAAAGGGAGTCGCCCTGTCTGAAACCCCGTTTTGTGGCGAACGGCTCGGAGAGGTCTTTTCCAATTCTGACGGAGCTGGTGGTATTGCTCAACGTCATTTTACACAGCCGTATGAGTTTTGAGGGGATGCCAAATTCAGACATAGCGGCGTATAGGCAACTCCTTTTAGTGCTGTCAAAAGCGGCTTTAAAGTCGACAAATAGGTGGTGAGTGTCGATCCTTTTCTCGCGGGTCTTTTCCAAGATTTGGCGTATTGTGAATACCTGGTCTATGGTGGATTTGCCAGGTCTAAAGCCACACTGATAAGGCCCAATCAGTTCATTGACGGTGGGCTTCAGTCTTTCGCACAATACGCTCGATAAGACCTTGTAACCTATGCTTAGAAGGCTGATCCCGCGGTAGTTGGCGCGAATGGCGGGGTCACCTTTCTTGTGGATTGGGCAGAGCACACTTAAATTCCAGTCGTCGGGCATGCGTTCATCTGACCATATTCTGCACAAGAGTTGATGCATGCACCTTATCAACTCCTCGCCGCCGTACTTGAATAGCTCAGCTGGCAGGCTGTCAGCTCCAGCGGCTTTGTTGTTTTTCAGCCGCGTTATTGCTATACGTACCTCGTCATAGTCAGGCGGTGGAACGTCGACTCCGTCATCATCGACTGCGGGCTCGGGTTCTTCTTCTCCACAACTTTCCGTGCTGCTACCATTTAGTAGGGCGGAAAAGTGTTCCCTCCATAATTTAAGTACGCTCTGGACATCAGTTACTAGGTCGCCATTATTGTTCTTACAGGAGTGCGCCCCGGTCTTTAAACCTTCCGTAAGTCGCCTAACTCTCTGGTAAAATTTTCGGGCATTCCTCCTGTCGGCCAGCATTTCAAGCTCTTCGCACTCACGTATTTCTGCCTCTCTCTTCTTGTTGCGGCAAATACGTCTCGCTTCCCTCTTCAGATCCCTATAGCGGTCCCACATAGCGCGCGTTGCGCCCGATCGCAGCGTGGCCCTGTAGGCGGCATCTTTTTTCTCTGCAGCTTCCTGACACTCCTCATCGTACCAGTTGTTCTTTCGGGCTCGCTGAAATCCGACTACTTCTTCGGCGGCGGTACTTAATGAGCGGGAAATGTGGTTCCACTGCTCGCATATGTCGGTTTGTTGAAGAGTGCTCTCTGAGAGCAGGTGTGAGAGTCGAGTAGCGAAAGCGCTGGCTGTCTGTTGTGATTGCAGCTTTTCGACGTTAAGCTTTCCTTGCATATTTGGGCGCACATTTTTTGCTGCACAGAGGCGGGTGCGTATCTTGGCTGCAACAAGATAGTGGTCCGAGTCGATGTTTGGGCCTCGGAGTGTGCGTACGTCTAAAACACTGGAAGCGTGCCTTCCGTCTATCACAACATGATCGATTTGGTTTCTCGTTTTTCGATCCGGAGACAGCCAGGTAGCTTGATGGATCTTTTTATGCTTGAACCTAGTACTGCATACTACCATGTTTCGGGCCCCGGCGAAGTCGATCAGCCTCAATCCGTTGTCGGACGTTTCGTCGTGGAGGCTGAATTTTCCGACGGTGGTTCCAAAGATCCCTTCTTTGCCCACCCTGGCATTGAAGTCGCCAAGCACGATTTTGATATCATGACGGGGGCAGCGCTCGTACGTGCGCTCCAAGCGCTCATAGAAGAGATCCTTGGATGCCTCATCCTTCTCTTCCGTCGGGGCATGGGCGCAGATGAGCGAGATGTTGAAGAATCTCGCTTTGATGCGGATTGTGGCTAGACGCTCGTCCACCGGGGTGAACGACAGTACTCGGCGACGGAGTCTCTCTCCCACCACAAATCCAACTCCGAATTTGCGCTCCTTTACATGGCAGCTGTAGTAGACGTCGCAAGGCCCCAGACATTCTTTGCCTTGCCCCGTCCAACGCATTTCTTGGATGGCGGTGATGTCAGCTTTTGTCCTTACGAGGACATCAACCAGCCGGGCAGAGGCACCTTCCCCATTAAGGGTCCGGACATTCCAGGTGCATGCCCTCAAATCGTAGTCCTTTAAACATTTGCCGTGGTCGTCATCATAAGGGGGGGTCTCATCCGAGGCTTTGCCTTGCTTCTTCACTGGAAGTGGTTTTTACGTGGCGGGTCCCAAGCCCAGCGCACAACCCATTGCTGGGACGGGGGTGGTTTCGCAACCAAATACACGTTTATATAGCGAGCCGCTTGCTCCAAGCAGACACCCGCTTGCAGCCGCACCTACTGGTGAACAGACGCTGCAGACTTCAGTGAGCCCTTAAACCGAATAAGTCAGAGTGGCCCCACCGAAGCTCTCTTTCTTTCTGCCGTGACCCAAGGCTCCACTCGGATTGGTTACCGTATCTCGCACATGGGTTGCTCACGTTGCCCAGAGTGCGCGAACGAGGACGCAAGAGTCGGGATTAAATATAGCCATGCAACTGTAACTGTATACCCAGCGCAACGACTATACCCCATTGCACTCCACTGCTTTATATAAACGAGCAAAAAAAGATCTTTGTTGCCCCTTATCGAGCAACTTGGGTCCGGGCTAGTCATTTATACAATGACCCATAACCCGAATCCAAAAACTTCAATATATACGTGTAATCAAAGGATTGAAATTTTATTTAAAATAAATGTTTCAAATTTCCGACCACTAGCTTATTAATAAATTCGGTTTGCACTATGCACTTTCGAGCAAATTTCGGCGTTGGTTCTGCGCAAAAATACTGTGCATGGCGTAGCCGGAGTGATATGCACACGAAATGTTGTATTATTTTGACATGCGGAAGCCCTCTTCTCCGGCAACACAGAAAGGAGAATTCTACTTAGTAAGAGCCGTTCGGACGTGTTTATTTTTCGCTCCGCAATTTCTCATAAAGAAATATATACTACGTTTATACGTAAGCTATTTGCAAATAAAAATAATTTGCAAATACTTAACTCACTGTTTTCTCGATGGTGAAATATTCTTTTTTAATATTGCCTGATTATAAAAAGGCAATAATATGACCATCGAAAAGGAAAATAAAGTTAAAAATGGAAACGTCTTGATTATAAAAAAGGAATAAGATGACCATCGAAAAAGAAAATTAACCTAAGAATGACAGCGTCTTGCGCTTATTTGCAAATAATACCACTAAGCAATACTTATTTGCGTGATTTAGTTATTTGCAAATGAAAAATTAACTCAGCATTTATACGGCAAAGTTTATCAATTTGCAAATTGTTATCTGCAAATAATGCTTGCGTACTAATACACTCAAGCCCTTCGGACGTGTTTATTTTTCGCTCCGCAATTTCTCAAGTTTTCGCCGGAACACACTTTTTATTTTCCGCAAGGTTTATAATCCTTAATTAAGGCAATCAATATTTTCAACCGTACGGAAGTGTCTTTGAATTTAAACATTAACAAAAGAAATTAAAGAATTAAAGAAACTAATTATATCCAACCAAAAACACAACTCACTTGCGCTATAAACAAAACAAACCAAATAAATAAAACTAATAAAACAACAACCACATAGTGTCCGCTGTCTACATTGCTGTTGTTGCTAAAGAACTAATATCGACGTTGCTGGCACAGCTGGCTTTTCTCTGATAACTACAGCTGCGCATTTGTTTTGATTTCTGGCCGTGCATCATCGTTCGTTATCGCTGTTTTAAAAATTTGAATTTTATTGCATAAGCATGGGCACTCGTACCAAATATGCTTGCCTGTTATGCGTTTCACCAAACAAAACGCCTGCAAAGCAGAATATCAAGCAGCTGGAATCAAAAATCATGAGCGCCGTGACTGAGGTGCTGAGAGAGGTGGTGAAGGAGTCTGTTGGCGTCATTATGAAGCAGCTAGGTGAGGTGACGGTGGAGCTGTCGAAGATGAAGGCGAAGATGCTACCATTTGAGCTCGAAATAGAAAAGGCCGAGCGTGATCGCGCGGAAATAGCAAAACTGCGCGATGATATACACGCACTCAAGGAGGAGGTGGAAAGTAATAGCGTGGCGACTGATATTATAATTAGAGTTATACCACATGAGCCGGATGAGAAAGTAGGTGAAGTTTTCAGCAATCTCTGCCAAGCAATGCAGCTGAATTCCCTGTCTATTAAAGCTGCTTTCCGCGTACGCACCAAAAACGAAAAAAATTCACCTATCATAGTGAAACTAAATTCCCCCCATGATCGCTCTTTGCTGTTTGCCGCCGCTGCCAGGTTTGTCAAAGCCAAAAAAAGAGGCATCCAGCTAAGTGACATTGGGCGCGAAGCTAATGGGAGAATACATCTAAATGAATCTCTTACTAGAGGTAGTCGTGAGATTATGCAGTTTGCAACGTAGCTTAAAAGACAAAAGCTCATAAAATCTGCCTTTTCGTTCAAGGGACAAGTGTTTATTCGTGTGCAGCCCAGTGTAGCTGCGATTAAGGTGCTCAGCACAGAGGAGATAGATGCAATCATTGCGGGCAAATGACTAGCTATTAAGTTTATGTGTAACATGTCTTCAGCCTCCTCCCTTTATATTATTTCTCTTCTTTTAACTAAATACTTACTCCTTTCTTACCTTATTCTATACTCATCTTCAATAATTTCGGCATTTTCCGTAATTTTAATCGTTCCTAGGGTGCGGTATATGTTGCTTCGCACTGACATACAAGAAAAGTGAAAATCGCTGTGGTTCCAAAGACAACACGTTTAATACGATACAGATAGTGGGCATACAAATGCGCGGCTTGATGGTATGTAACATTAATGCCCAAAGCCTTCATCCTAAAATCGATGAATTCAGATATATTTTTGAACGTTCCAATGTTGATGCTTTGTGTGTGTAAGAGACTTGGTTCTCTTCGTGCCATGTTGATGATTTGCTTTGTGTCAGTGGGTATAAACTGTTTCGCTCAGATAGAATCGGGCATGGTGGTGGTGTCGCTATTTATATTAAAATTGGTCTCTCGTGTCGTCTTAAATGTTAATCAAGTGCCTCGGATTCCATTGAGTATATCTTCGTAGAAATAGTTAGCAGTACAGATAAAATCCTAGTTGGCTGTGTATATAGACCAAATCGCAACATTGCATACTTTCCATTTGTTGATTTTATTGAGAATCTTACCCTAAATTACAACAACATCCTTATAAGTGCGACTTTAACAGTGACTTGCTTACTGAAACTAAGTTTTCGCTATCAATGGAAAACCTTGGACTTTTCCCTGTTAACCGTTCGATACCCACACATTTCACGCGGACCAATATCACGTTATTAGATGTATTTTTTATAAATAAGAGGTCTAAGGTATTACTTTATGGCCAACTATCCGCGCCTACGCTTTCCAATTTATGCCCTGCATGCAGCTCTCAAGAAAATGGTCAAGAAAAAATTGCCAATATGTCGTGTGTGTGTCCAAGGAATTTTTGACATTTTTGATACTTCATAGCCTGTTGCCTCACTCTTTCCTCAAGAAATAATGGAGCGGGCATATATTTCTGTTGCAAACCTGGGTTGCCTTGTGCTCTTTTTTCACAAAAAAACTTTAGAAAACCGTAGTAGATAGCGTAGCAAATACCTTAAGAACTGCGTACTGCCATAGGGAAATTTGACTCAAGAAAATTTCTTAGCCATTTCTTGTACGTCATTTTATATGGAGTTTTTGCGTTTCTTGAGAGCTGCATACAGGCCTTTCCTTAGAAGTAACGAAAGCCAATAAGTTGCAAAAATCAATGTACTATGCACAACAATTTAACACGGCGGTAGGCTCTAAGCAAACATGGAAACGTATCCGCGATATCGGTATTGGCAAGGAAAGCAATCTAGTAACCGAATCTATTGACGTAAATGAATTAAACGAGAAATTTGTGCAAGTGTCTGTTGGTAACCGTAATATTTGTTATGACCGTTATATTGTTAGTATGAGTGACTCCTTGCCTGGTTTCTATTTTAATTGTATTGATGAGTGTGATGTTGTCCACTCTGTACTTAGTATCAAGTCGAATGCCGTTGGTAGCGATGGAATCTATCCCAAATTTCTCAAGTGTTTACTTCCTAAAATTCTGAATTACCTAACTTATGCCTTTAACACCATCCCCATAACCTCTGATTTTCCGAGTTGTTGGAAGAGGGCAAAGGTCATCCCTGTCAAAAAGCCGAATGGTGATTACAGGCCAATCGCGATATTGCTTTTTCTATCTAAGGTCCTTGAGCGAATCATGAACCACCTGATCAACCTCTTTATTACTAAGAACTCGTTTATGAGCCCGTACCAATCTGGTTTCAGAGCAAATAGGAGTTGTATCACAGCGCTCTTAAAAGTTTCGGACGACATTCGGCTAAACCTTGACAGAAACTATGTAATATTCCTAACCCTTCTCGACAATTCGAAAGCTTTTGATACCGTGGATCATGCGTTAATGTGTTTAAAACTTCGTAACATTTTTAGTTTCGCACCATCGGCAGTGAACCTAGTAAGATCATACCTTGCTGACCGTTCACAATTCGTAAGCGTACACGATATCGTTTCAACCCCGCTGCCTACGGCTCGAGGGGTTCCGCAAGGATCCATACTTGACCCTCTGCTGTTCCTGCTATGTTAAAACATTGTAATATCCATGTCTATGCAGATGACGTCCAATTGTATCTCTGTTGTCTCCCCGATTCCATCAATGCATGTATAACAAACCTAAATGCCGACTTAGACTCCGTAGGCGAGTCAGCGCCTTAAAGTGCCTTAGTCCCTAATCCAAGCAAATGCCAGTGCATTGTTATGTATAAGAAATATTTGAAACTTGACGACTATTATGAAGTAAAATTGAACAGTTCTGTGATAAAATACGTGGACACTGCCAAAAACGTAGGAGTGTTTAGTGGTGCCTCGGCTTGCTCCTCGACGAACACTGTATAGGCTCTTAGTGGGTGTGTGGGAAATAGAGCATCCACTATATTCTTATCTCGGGCCTCATCCATCGCTTGCGATGATGTATGGAACTTTTTCATCACTATTTTGTATCCCTGGCCCCAGGTATCGCGATCCACTTCGTCACATAGCGCTTTCCAGCAGTTCCGTTTACTCTTCTGTATCTCGNCACCACAGTGATTTGCGCCATTTTAACCCAGACGTAGCAGCGTCCTACCCCGCTGCTCTCTGCGCGATGGTTGGGGTTAGCAATCCATATCGCGGCCGAGCCTGATTGGTCCACATGCCAGGTTTCATTTGTTCTATAGGGTTCACTGATGATGACAGCATCTGCTCTTTGTTCAAGAACCAATTGGTCCAGCTACCCTTCTCCTGTTCATATTGCCTGGTATAAATTTAATCATATTCTCCCAAGCTATGTCTTAGCCTCAGCAAGGGCATCCCTGAAGGCCTTGCACGCTCCCGACCCGGGCAGATGATTGGCATTTTTCTGTCTATCTCCTGCCGAGCACAGGTAGCAGCTTGGGCTTTCTTTACATGCAGAGGCTATGTGGCCCTACTGACCACATTTCCAGCATGAACTGCTTCTGTCTGGGCCTTTGCATTCCGCCTTTTTGTGGCCATACCCCAGACAGCGGAAACACTTTTGGACATACGCGCGCTCTCGGACGCGGCAGATAATCCAACCTACTCGCAGCTTCCCCTCTTCAATAAGAGTCCGGCCAGGCAGATCGTCGATTTCCACCACAACCATTCTTTGTTCACGCGAGTTTACAGCGAGGAGAGAGACGCGAAGTTGGCCATTCATCTTGTCTCCTAACTCCCCGCGTATAGCGTTGTCCACTTCTGGGGCCGTGGTTAGGCAGTCCATGTCCAGAACTTCTAGACGTAAACGTCTTGTGAGAATACGGGCGTCTCCAAGGTGGCCAATGGCAGTGCACACATTTTCCTTAAATGCTGATTGGTCGCCACAGCGCTCCGTTTCGATGAGCACGCCGCCTTCGCCGGTTTTCCGAACAGATCGAATTACGGTCTCCGTCTTCTCAGGTTGGAGCTTACCACGTATCGTTCCCAGCACCTCTGCATAGGTTTTGCCTTCTGCTGGCTTAATGATTAGCTTGGCGAGATTCTTCTTTTTTCTCACCCTCTTCTTTTTTTGCGGCTGGTCGCTTCGCCCTTATTGACTAAGGGTTCACCTGGCGCTGGCCCTGACTTGGGATTTCTGCTTTTTCCAACCGTTTTCCATTGATTAGCTGGTACGGTCTTCTGTGCATTATTATTATTATTACCATTATTGTTATTAGGACTATTAATAAAAATATTTTTACTACTATTATTATTATTATTATTAGTAGTATTTTTTTTCTTTTCCGGTTCGCCTGTAGGGGAGTCGGATCGAGTTCGAGCTCTCTTTTGCGAGCCAGGGCCAGTTTTCTGCAGCTCGGAAAGGGTAGACCCCTTCCGGCGCTGCTCTCGGAGGTAGCTTAGTATATTTAGGCTCTCCTCGATTTGGGCCATACCCGTTTTTATGTCCATGGACAAATTTTTCTGCTTGGAGATAGGACTCTGCATCTTCTTCAAGACGAGCCGGATCTGGACCAATTGCTCATCTTCATTGCCTTCGCACGTTCTCAAGCTTGCGGTGGCATGCTTGTCCCTGTTTGCAGCAGCTGGTGTTTGATGACCACCTTCCCGGCTTCCCGGAGTTGTCGTTTGCAAAGGTGTACCCTTCTACACCCATTACATTTGTTTTTGTTATTTTTTTAATCATGTCAGTTCTGTTGGGTCTACGCTTCAAGCCGCTATCTCCACACGTAGCACAGTCGCTTTCAGTGTCCCGTAGTTCCCTTCTCTCAAAGGAGCAGGCCATCGCGAGGGTTGACACAAGTCCTTATGGGATATTGTGTTCAGAGCCAAGACAGCGCAAAACCAGGAGGAAATCTCAACTGGACCTGTGCGGCCAACTAAATGGCGACGTGTATTGAACGTACTTGAAGACCTGCCAGGGTTTTAACGAGACGCCATTTCTGTGAGGCGTAACCCTCGCATACTAAAGTGGTGGAATACTGCTCTCGCCAGCCCAATGTCGAATTAATCGTATACATGTTCCAGTATGCCATGAACAGGATCTAACAGGAGATTCATCAAGCATTTCTGATCTTTTAAATCAGGCCCTCGGCTCCTGCCTCTCTTGGTCTGGGACTGCTTATTGGTTATTCGCAGCTAACCCACCGAAGTAGGCCGTTCACGATCCGCCCTGTGTGACCCCGGTAAGGCCCTGAGC